TAGAGACGGGGTTTCACCATGTTGACCAGGATGGTCTCGATCTCTTGACCTCGTGATCCACCCGCCTCGGCCTCCCAAAGTGCTGGGATTACAGGCTTGAGCCACCGCGCCCGGCCTCTTTTGTTATTTTTTTAAGAGCAATACCTGAAGAGGCCACTTTCTGAAAATAGAAACTCTTGCCTGGGCTCGGTGGCTCACACCTGTAATCCCAGCACTCTGGGAGGCCGAGGTGGGTGGATCACGAGGTCAGGAGTTTGGGACTGGCCTGACCAACATAGTGAAATCCCCTTTCTGCTAAAAATACAAAAATTAGCCTGGTGTGGTGGCGTGTGCCTGTAATCCCAGCTACTCCAGAGGCTGAGGCAAGAGAATTGCTTGAGCCTGGGAGGCGGAAGTTGCAGTGACCCGAGATCATGCCACTGCACTGCAGCCTGGGTGACAGAACAAGACTCTGTCTCAGAAAAAAAAAAAAAATAGGAGCTCTTAAATGTCAAGCCAAGGCATTATCCTTTGGATAGTAGGGAGGGTTATCAGGCATGACTCAGAGGTGGGATGATTTCACAGGACATGTCTGGAGGAGTGTCTACAGTTACAGACCCCTAGTGGCTTCCGTTTGAACCTTATCTGTCCATCTAGGCTGCAGCTCTTCTAGGAAGCCCTCCATGATTGCCCCAGCCCACAACAATCTCTGCCACCTCCCAAGTACAGCCTAAAACCCGCATCTGGGCACCAGCGCCTATCTAGGCTGCACCCTCTGGGTGCCTGTTTTGTGCCAAATGCCTGTCTCCAATGCTCCCAGGAGGATCGGGATGAGCCCGTAAGCATCCTGGTGATTCTAGGAGGAGGAGCCCCATGTAGCTTGCCTGACTCATGCCCGCTGATTTGCAGGCTGTGTTGGTTCCTGCAGCCCAAATTTGGGCCCAGCTGCATCCTATATTCCCTTAGGGCCCAGGCAATGGTTCTTTTCTAAAATGGGCTCTTACCTGTTCTTTCTGTGGCATGGCTGTTGGCTTGCTTCCTTCACACTGCCCCAACTGTATGTCCTACCTGCCCCGGGGACACGAGGCTCCTCCTCAGAGCCTACTCCTACCTTGCTCACCCATTCATGCCCTGAGTCATTGATTTATCCACACATCTTAGCACCAACTATAATAAGCATGAGATGACTGTTCTGGTCCCTGCCCTCAGTGAACTCCAGGGTCCAATGGTGCAGTTGAAGAACGCTGATAATAACCACCAATGTTTATTAAGCACCTACCATGTGCCAGGGCTTTCTATGGGTACAGCAGGCAGAGTGTGGCTCTCTAAACCTGAGTCGGACCATGTCCTGCTCCAAACCCAGTGTCTGCAATATACAGAGGAAAAGCCAACATGCTCTGCCCAGCCTGCAAGACACACATGGTCTGACCTGCAGTCACCTCTCCAACTTCATCTCATATGCTTCTCCACCTCCGGACCGCTTTGCAACTCCACCAGCCCCCTTTTTTTTCCTTTTTGAGACAGTGTCTTACTCTGTTACCCAAGCTGCAATGCAGTGGTGGTGTGATCAAAGTTCACTGCAGCCTCAACCTACCACCTCAGGTGATCCTCCCACCTCAGCCTCCTGAGTAGCTGGGACTACAGGTGTGTGCAACCATGCCCAGCTAATTTTTGTATTTTTTATAGAGATGGGGTTTCACCATGTTGCCCAGGTTGGTCTTGAACTCCTGGGCCCAAGCGATCTGCCCACCTTGGCCTCCCAAAGTGCTAGGATTTCAGGTGTGAGCCATCATGCCCAGCCTACACCAGCCTCTTGCTAGTCTTCAATCCTGGCTGAAGACCTTGCTTCCTCTTCTCTGCCTAGACGCTGCTTCTCCAGGTGTTTACATGGCCGGCTCCTGCCTTCATTAAGGTTTATCAGCTCAAATATTAGTTACACCTCTTCAAGGGAAGCCTTCCCCGACCACCCTTTCTAAAAATCACCCTGTCACTCTCTGTCCCCTTTCTGTTATAGCACTTACAACCACCTAATATCATATTGTATATTCATTTTATTTATCTGCCTTTTTCTCTACACTCTTGGGGATTTTTTATTGTTTTAGACGGAATCTGGATCTGTTGCCCAGGCTGAAGTGCATTGGCACAATCTTGGCTCACTGCAACCTCTTCCTCCTGGGTTTAAGCGATTCTCATGCCTCAGCCTCTCATGTAGCTGGGATTACAGGCATGCACCATCACACCTGGCTAATTTTTAGTAGAGATGGGGTTTCACCATGTTGGCCAGGCTGGTCTCGAACTCCTGACCTCAGTTGATCCACCTGTCTTGGCCTCCCAAAGTGCTGGGATTACAGGTGTGAGCCACGGCACCCAGCGGGACTTTATTTATTGCTAAATGCCCCTTACCTCCTGGCACAGGTAGTTCTTTGTGAAATGAGCGAATGCATACATCACATCTTTAAGGTTCAGGAGGGTCTTCGAGGGGACAGCACATGTGAAGGCATGGATGCCTGCTGAAGGCCCTTCCAGGGCTTGTATCTCTAGGGATATGAACTCTCTACTGCCCAGGGCAGTACTGCCCTTTTCCAGACAGTCTTGAAATTGAGGCAATAAATGTCCCCACGCCTATACCTGAGCATTATTACACAGACATGGCCATGTGGCCTACACATGCTCCAAGCATGGAGGAAGAAGGCCAGGGCATGGAGGGAGCTTCCTGCTCTGGCGTGGAGAGCGAACACAAGCCTTGGATCCCAGAGTTCCGCTCCCCTCCGCTGCAGGTGCCTGCCCTGTTCTGTTCTGTTGGCCTGGGAAGGAACTTTGGACAGGCTCTTTTCAATCTGAGAAGAATCTGTCCCGAAACTATGGCAATTACTTGTAATCTGCAACTGCCTTGATTACAGCTTGGGGGACTTTGATATTTTCCTCCAAGGACACCATTTCAGCACAAAAATTCAAGGAAGTCCCCGGCGCTTGCTTGCTCTCGCCCAGCAGGAGAACTGAATATTGACTGGAGATGGTGAACTTTGAGGCCTGCACCCACAGGCCCCACCATCAAAGCTGACTCAGGATCTCAGGGCACCCGCAGGAAGGCTGCTAGGCCTGTGCGGGGCTGCTTTTGCCACTTCCCCCCACGTGGCCTTGGGCACATCTTTTCACAGCTACCAGCCCTTTTCTCATCCAAAGGAGAAAGTCAGAACTGCTTAGCAGGAGGTAACAGTACCTTCAAGGTGCTCCCCTCCACATGTACCTCCAGCCCTCCAGGTGGCCAGCTCAGTGACAATGCTTTTGGTGGCATCTAGCTGAACCGCTAGTTTTTTTTTTTTTTTTTCTTATATGAATAGTCAGAGGGGAGAGAGGCATTGGGGCTATTTGATTCATCAGCTCAGTGATGCCTTCCAGGCTCGGGCCTTCTCTGATCTGCCATCCTTCTTGTTAGTTCCATCTTCAGGTTGATGCCAAGATGGTGGCAGTAGCCCCAAGTGTCCACACTGGAGTATGGCAACTCCAGAGAAGGTAGACTGTGTCTTACCGGGACTCCCCTTAAAATGGAGGAAGCCTGGGCCAGGCAAGGTGGCTCACGCCTGTGGTCCCAGCACTTTGGGAGGATGAGGCAGGCGGATTGCCTGAGATCAGGAGTTCAAGACCAGTCTGGCCAGTATGGTGAAACCCCATCTCTACTAAAAAAAAAATTAAAAATTAGCCAGGTGTGGTGGTGGGTGCCTGTAATCCTAGCTGTTTGGGAGGTTGAGGCGGGAGGGTCACTTAAACCCGGGAGGTGGAGGTTGCAGTGAGTTAAGATTGTGCCACTGCACTCCAGCCTGGGCGACAAACTGAAACTTCATCTCAAAAAAAAAAAAAAAAAAAAAAAAAATGGAGGAGGCCTTTCCCAGAAATCCCTGTAGACTTTCCTGGTCCTGTACCTTACTGTCTAGAACTAGGTCATGTGCCCAGTCTTGAATCAGGTATTGCCAAGGGGGAGCAGAGTAGTGGTAGACCAGGCATCCACGGAGAATGGACTCACCTTAAAGGGTGTCCATTATGTCTGCTCATAATGTCCAATGCCTAGAGGCAAGCTAAGACCACTGTCTCTAGGTGTTCACAGCTACAATTTGGCTTTTCTATGAGACCCCCCCAAATGTCACTTTCACCCTATGATGGCCCTCAGGATTAGACGGTGCTGATCTGGGCTAGCACAGGTCCAATTGCAAGGGTTCTGGACCTAGAAAGTTCCTTAAATTGAGCTAAGTCACTGCCCAACTAAGATTCCCAGGAGGCAGGCCCTTTAGACTCTCCTTTGGTGAGTGAGGAGGGATTGGGTACCTATTGTGTGAGTGGCTTTTTTACTTCAAAGAACTTGGCTGGTGTGGTGTCTCACACCTGTAATCCCAGCACTTTCGGAGGCCATGGTGGGCAGATTGCTTGAGTCTAGGAGTTTGAGACCAGCCTGGGCAACACTGTGAAACCCTGTCTCTACAAAAAACATATAAAAATTAGCTGGATGTGGTCATGGACACCTACAGTCCCAGCTACTCGGAGGTTGAGGTGGGAAGATCACTTGAACCTGGGAGGTGGTTGGAGTGAGCTGAAATTGCGCCACTGCACTCCAACCTGGGTGACAGAGCAAGACCCTGTCTTAAACAAACAAAAAACCCTCATACAGTGCTTTGCAGAGGCCCTGTGATCTTACAGGTAGAAAAGGCAATGCAGGCCGAGCATGGTGGCTCATGCCTGTAATCTCAGCACTTTGGGAGTCTGAGGTGGGTGGATGACCTGAAGTCAGGAGTTCGAGACCAGCCTGGCCAACTTGGTGAAACCCTGTCTCTACTGAAAAATAAAAAAAAAAATTAGCTGGGCGTGGTGGCAGGCATGTGTAATCCCAGCTACTCAGAAGGCTGAGGCAGGAGGATCGCTTGAACCCAGGAGGCAGAGGTTTCAATGAGCTGAGATGATGCCATTGCACTCCAGCCTGGGTGACAAGAGCAAATCTCTGTCTAAAAAACAATAAAAGGAAGTGCAGAGACTACTTCTGTTTCTAGGCAAGGTGGAGTAACAGGGATCAGATATATCTCCCCACCGAAAACAAAAGTAAAACTAGACAAAATACACGAATTAGTGGTTTTCAAGCCTCTGGGTGTTGAATGATAAGGACAGAGATTACAGACAGATGGGAAACAAAGGTGAGCCCTGTGATTGTCCCCAGCCTTGAGAGAGTTTTCAGGCTGCAACATAGGGAGGGGGACGAAAAGTGGAGCCAGGGAACACCATGAGTTGAGGAGGCGGAGCTAAATGTCAGGGCAAAGTAACTAAAGTGTATAGGACAGAATGCCAGAGGGGAGAGAGCTGTCTAGAGAGAAATCCCTGGAGAGCTGCCGAGGCACCCCAGAAACCCAGCAGGATACTGATGAGCACGTGTGTGTGAGGGAAGGACCCAAGGCCAAGGAAAGGCCCATCAGGAAGGACTTGGGGAACAGTGCTCGCTGCTTACTGGATGGGGACTGTGTCTGTTCCCACCAGCCACAGTATTATGCCAAGTATCGTGGGTTGTTACGGAGAGGAGTCAGGAGGTCTTGCCTCACTAATGGCAAATAATTAGCTTTAGAATGAGCACCGGTTGGATTTGCCTAAAAAAATCTTGTGTGAGCAAGACTCAAAAGGATTAAACCGTTTCCAAGTAACTCAAATGTCCCAGAAGAAAGCCCAAGAGGATTTACAGGTTACTAATACATCCAGCACTCAACAAGCTGAAACCCACAATGTCTGGCACCCGATCAAAGATGATCACTCCTGCAAAGCAGCAAGTAATGCAATCCATAAGGTGGGAGTAAGCAAAACCAACCCACAACTGAAACCGATGATGGAACACGCAGATAAGTACCTTACAAGTTATTCTAATTTTATTCCACATGTTCAACAAATTAAATAGGTCCTCATACATATGGTCAAAAGATTTCTGACAGGGGTGCCAAAACCATTCAATGGAAAAAGGATTGTCTTTTTAACAAATGGTGTTGGGAGAACTGAATATCCATATGGAAAAGAATGAATTTGGACCACATACCACATACAATCATGAACTCAAAATGGATCAAAAACATAAATGTGAGAGCTAAAACTATAATATTCTTAGCAGAAGACATAGCGGAAACGTTTCATAACAGTGGATTTGGTGATTATCCTTTTTTTTTTTTTTGAGACAGAGTCTTGTTCTGTCACCCAGACTAGAGTGCAATGGCCTCATCTCGGCTCACTACAATCTCTGCCTCCTCGGTTCAAGTGATTCTTCTGCCTCAGCCTCCTGAGTAACTGGGATTACTGGCGCCTGCCACCATGCCTGGCTAATTTTTTTGTATTTTTAGTAGAGATGGGGTTTCACCATGTTGGTCAGGCTGGTCTCGAACTCTTGACCTCATGATCCACCTACCCTAGCCTCCCAAAGTGCTGGGATTATAGGCATGAGCCACCGCACCCGGCTGGTGATGATCTTTTGGATATGACACCAACAGCACAGGAAACAAAAGAAAAACTAGATAAATTGGAATTCATCAAAATTAGAATTTTGGCTGGGCTCAGTGGCCTATGTCTACAGTTGCAGCTACTTGGGAGGCTGAGGTGGGAGGTTCATGTGAGCTCAGGAGTTTGAGGCTGCAATGTGCAATCACTGCATCTGTGAATAGCCACTGTACTCCAGTCTGGGCAACATAGCAAGACCCTGTCTCTAAATACATTAATTAAATTAAACTTTCGTTCATAACAGGACACGATCAAGAAAGTAAAAAGGCAACCCACAGAATGGGAGAAAATATCTGCAAATCAGATACCTGATATGGTTTAATATACACAATATACAAATAACTTCTATAGTGCAACAAGAAAACAACTCAATTAAAAGAATGGGCAAACAACTTGATTAGACATTTATTCAAAGAAGATATACAAACAGTCAATAAGCACATGAAAAGATGCTCAACAGGCCAGGCACAGTGGCTCATGTCTGTAATCCCAGCACTTTGGGAGTCCAAGGCACGTGGATCAAAAGGCTAGGAGTTTGAGAACAGCCTGACCAACATAGTGAAACCCTGTCTCTACCAAAAAAAATACAAAAAATTAGCTGGGTGTGGTTTCGGGCGCCTGTAGTCCCAGCTACTCGGGAGGCTGAAGGAAGAGAATCGCTTGAACCTGGGAAGTGGAGGTTGCAGTGAGCCAAGATGGCACCACTGCACTCCAGCCTGGGTGACAGTTTGAGACTCTGTCTCAAAAAAAAAAAAAAAAAAAAAAAAAAGAAAGCTGAGACTTGGAACTGCTAAATTATTGGTTTATTTTTTACATCAGGTCACTTAAATGAAAAGTGATTACAATATCTTCCTATATTACTATCTACTTTAAAGCATCAGATATTAAGGATGCTAGCTTGCATCTCAGTGTTAAATCTTCTCTGATAGATTTAAGTATGTAAATCATGAAAATTCTACTTATAACTATAGAAGTGAATTGTGGACGTAAAATGGTTATACCATTTGGATAATGGCATTAGGCAGCATTTGTATAATAACTAATGGCAAAAATTCATGGCTAGTGATGTATAAAATATTCCCTTTATTAATGTTGTAGAAGGGGGACTACAACAAGGAACTAACAATTTGTAGGACAGCATCATGTATTATTTTGATTTTAGTATTTCCTGTCTAGGTTTATTTGCATCTTAGAAGAGTGTAATGGCATTGTTTGACGAAGCCTAATTATGCTGGACTGTTTTGACCTGGTTTAACTGTTCTGATAGGTTAACTGTGGATGTTGGGGATGAGAACTGAATAATATTTGCCTGGAGTGACATTACATTCTAGAATTTCCACTTTGGAGAATACTCAGTTCTAACTTGTGATTTCTAGTAGAACAAACTATCTTTCTAGCCTAGAAATGACCTGGAAGCAGAGGAATCCCAGTGCCTTTAAAAATTATGTGGTTTTCTTTTAAGAAGCTCCTAATTGTTTCTGGAGAGAATTTATGGGTACAGCATCTATTATTTGCACATAAAACCATTAAAAAAATCTAAAAACCATATACCTACCATATGATACAGCCATTTGACTTCTTCACTTGCTCATAGCAACTTTATTTATAATAGCCCAAACTGAAACAACTCAAATGTCCATCAACAGATGAGTGGATAAACAAATTCCATACAATGAAATAAAAAAGAAATGGACCATAGTTACATATAAGAACATAGTTACACATAAGCCTGCTAAAAAGCAGGCTGAATGAAAAAGTCAGACAGGTTGGGCATGGTGGGTCACGCCTGTAACTCCAGCACTTTGGGAGGCCGAGGCGGGCGGATCACCTGAGGTCAGGAGTTCAAGACCAGCCTGGCCAACATGGTGAAACCCCGTCTCAACTAAAAATACAAAAATTAGCTGGGTGTGGTGGTGCACATCTGTAATCCCAGGTGCTCAGGAAGCTGAGGCAGGATAATTGTTTGAATCTGGGAGGTGGAGGCTGCAGTGAGCCAAGATTGTGCCATTGTATTCCAGCCTGGGTAGCAGAGTAAGATTCCAA